ACTCAGTCTTCTACCGATTAAAACCCTCCATGAGTAGCCCTTTTCGTGATACCAACCTCTCAATAAGCACCAATCTGTGATGAGGACAAGCACAAAAAGAAAGCACATCCTAAAATATTAGCCTATTGCGTGAGAAAACCTTTTGAACTTATAAACTCTATATTACTTGTGAGGTTCTCTGATGTGAGACTCTTCACAATAAATCTCACATTACTTGTGAGGTTCCCTAATGTGGGACTCATAACATCCTCTTCTCCATTTTCTTCTTTCTATATTTTCGTGTCCATCTTCTATGTTTGTTTATTTTGATCTCTACCTCTTTTGCTTCAGATGTCTATTCATGGTAAAATTGTTGGTGCTAAGGAAACTGAAGGACAAACGGCCCAATAACCAAAATAAATAACCAAACCATTAAATTTTGGTTCATTTTCTCTACAAACTTCTATTTAGTTCGGTTTAAATTATTACTGTTTTTTAGCCTGTCGATTTCCTCAAAATATATTCGAACCAAAACGAAGAAACCTATGCTCACTCCTACTAGTTGCAAGTGAAGAGAAAGGATGAGCAAGGAAAACCATGCACATAGCAAATTAATTAACAATCAAAGCAACATTTGTTAAACAAGTTGGCTCACATAGATAACACAACAGCTAATTAGGTGCAAATCCAGCAAACAAGTACAAATGCCTGCACCAACGGTGATTGAAGACTTATTGGAAAGGAAATTAACCAACGACAGACACAGCACTCAAAAACATACGACAGCAGCATGCATCAACAATAGAGGGATACCAATGCTTTATTTAACGAAGCTGATACATAATAAGGGCCGTGATGGCTTCTCAGTTCGCAGGGTTATCATCACCGGTCACAATCCAGCTGGAAATCCCAGAAGCGGTCCCCGACTTTTGGCCTAGCAGGTGAGGAACAGCACCAAGGAAGATGGGTAATGGGACAGTGGTCCAGTCCAAGGGGTGGGAGCTGCTGTGCTCGACGATGAGCTTCTCTTTAGTATAAGGTAAATTGTCGAGGACGTCCTTAAGGGACTGTGAAGTTTCAATGACAGTAGGCCAAGTGTGGGTCTGGTAAACCACAGTGTCAATAAACTTGTTGTAGGCCTCGTACAAGGGTAAGTAAAAATTATCAGAGAGGAGCAGATACAGTAATGGAAACCAGAAACTTGCCAGGCAACTCGTTCTTAAGGTTCTCAATGACTTTGCCTATTGTATCCTTAAACTGACCTTCCCCGGCATGATGGATGTGTTGGTAGTAAATATCAAGGCCATCGAGCTTGTAGTTGATGATGATATCTTTCAGGGATTTGGTGGCATTCAAGATCCAGGAGTCTTTATCGGAAGAGGTCACGGAAAAGGGATACTTATCGTCACGGCCTCCAATGCTCAAGAAGAACTTGACTTTGGAAGCTGACGTTTGCTTGAAAGTTTTGATCTTGGTTGGAGTGAGCTCACCTTTATTGAAGTAGCATTGAAAGGCTCCTATGGTGGATTTCCCAGAGCTATCATAATCTCTGGCGAAGGCCAGCGTGATATGAATATTGTGCTTGAGCTTCACAGATATGAGGTTTTCAATTGACGTGTAGTTGCTGGTGTAAACCCGATAGGCCAACAAAGGGTTGGCCAAATTCTCAGGGTCATGATCACTAGTCACAATCCATTTGGAAATCCCAGAAACGATCGGCTTTTGGTCGAGGAAATGAGGAACGGCACCAAGGAAGATGGGTAATGGGACTGGGGTCCAATCTAAGGGCTGGGAGCTGCTGTGCCCAGCCAAGAGCTCGGCTTTGGGATACGGTAGTGGCTTTAACATGTCCAATGATAAGGGATTGTGAAGATTCAATGACAGCAGTCCAAGTGTGTGTCTGGTAAACCAGAGTGTCAATAACTTTTTCATACTCGCGGTACAAGGGCAAGTAAACATTATCGGAGAGAGGAGCAGATACAGTGATGGAAACCAGAAAGTTGCCATAAGGTAGCTCTTTCTTAAGGTTCTCAATGACCTTGCCAATTGCATCCTTAAACTGATCTTCCCCACCACGATCGATACGTTGGGTAGTAAATGTCGAGGCCATCGAGCTTGTAGTTAAGAATGATATCTTTCAAGGATTTGGTGGCATTCAAGATCCAGGAGTCTTTATCGGCAGAGGTGACGGAAAATGGATATTTGTTATCACGGCCTCCGATACTCAAGAAGAACTTGACTTTAGAAGCCGACTTTTGCCTGAAAGTTTATCTTGGTGGGAGTGAGGTCACCTTTATTGAAGTAGCATTGGAAATCTCCTATGGTAGGTTTCCCCATGTCATCATAATCCCTGGCAAAGGCCAGAGCGACGTGGATGTCATGCTCGAGCTTCCCGGATATGAGATTTTCAATTGAGGCGTAGTTGCTGGCATAAACTCGATAGGCTAACAAAGGATTGGCCATATTGGAAAATTCTAGATATTGGATTTTGCTGGGACTCTGAGTCACTTATCTTCCTTGCGTCCCCTTAAATACACCTAACTTAGCTTCTCCCATGTGTTATTTTGACGTCATTTCCTCTTCGTCATGTACCCTTAAATTGTTTAAGATGATGAATTCTTGTGATTTAATATAATTATTAAAGGGGCCAAGTGTGACGTGTCGATTTTAATATCATCAATTTGAGTGTGAAAATCAACGTAACTTTCAAACTTGAAGATAATCTCGTGTAACTAAAAACATTTAGATAATATTGAAAAAATATGTAAAAAATGTTAGCTATATATGGCAATGCCATTGTAGCTCGAGGGATAAATATATGTATATAATAAAGAGGTAAAATGTTTTCTCGTGCATTTCTCATTCACTTGATAGTTGCGTTTGAAGTAATTTTGAATACAACATCCAAAGACCATTACCATATCCTAATTCGTACGTGAGAGGAATAGTCTTCATGTAATAACTAATTAATTGATGGTTATTTTTTTCCTAGTTGCCTCTAATTTATAACTACTAATATTAATAAATAATAAATACTTGCGTGTACAAACAACTTTAAAAGTTCTATATGCTCAATTAAACCGAGGCAACTAGATTTTACCAACGTTCAATTATATAATTGAAAACTCTCTGGATTCCATTTTGAAAACAATATAATTATTTTTTTTTTCAATTGGAAATCATCATTAGATGAAGGCCAGTTATTGTCAAAATCTTGTGAATCAAACCTCAAATGGAAACAGACTGAAAAGATGATTTGTCATCACCGATCCAATGTTCTTGTGTTTGTTTTCTATTTTGCCTACGTACTTCTCTTCATTAACTACATTACTGTAAACTCAATATTCCATTTTTCATGTCCTCTGGTGTTAATCGTGTTATCTCTTATGGTCAAATAGATAATTGAGACAAATTTAAGGGATTAAATGGATACAAAAATATGCCTGAGGGATTTATACTGGACTTAATAAAATATAAGCTTGGAGATGTTACATGCTAGGTGGGGATTCTTCAATTTCAATATTATTAATGATTGATAATTATCACAATTTTTATATTGGACTTATTAAAATAAGACTGTTATACTTGCATTATTGATATATTTATTTCAATTTCATAATAAAGATCAAATAGATAATTGAAACAAATTTAAAGGACAAAATGGATGCAAAAATATGATTGAGGGACCATTTATACTAGACTTAATAAAACATAAGCTTGAAGATGTTACAAGATTGGTGGAGATTCTTCAATTTCAATATTACTGATGATTTGTAAGTATCATCATTTCTATATTGGACTTATTAAAATAAGACTATTATAATTGCATTGTTGATTCTTCTTTATTTCAGTTTTAATATTGTCTCATTCTAGATTCAGTAAATATATTTGCAAGTTGTGAGCAAAGAATTTTTTATGCTCATCAAGATAATCTTAATTATGTATGCATGCATGCCACACTTGCATGCACCCACCTCTTAATCACATGAGATATATAAAACCTACGACCTCCCTTTTTCAAGGCAGTGTGGGATGCCACTGAGACAGGAGATTCTTGGTTGTGTGACTAAATTAAATCTACATATTGCATAGAAAAATGAACCTATAACAAATATTATAATTAGTGTGAAAATTAAGGTTTAGTTAAGACATCTTTATGATTAATTTTTCAATTAATTTCAAATTTGTACTATATTAATGCTATGTTTTTAATCAACAAATTACATGATCAATCCTATCCAGGAAGAGTCTATAACTCTAAATAATTTTCAGTGAAAGAGTTTGCTCTGCTGTCATATTATGAGTCTGCAATGTTCATAACATAGTTGGTCATGATTTCTATACTTTCATATATATACTTTTTTCTTAATATTCCATTAACTAAAAATATATGGATCTGCATGCTAAAATTGATGCTGTAACTATGCTTCATTAATTTATGAAAATTGGTTGAAAGTAACTGAAAAACAAAGTGTTTGGAAAATCAACGCTATGAGCTTGAGAAGAGCAATTAGTCAAAGCCCAATGCCAATCTGAAGGTAATCCCGGCCCCAACAGCAAATTGGCTTCATAAGTGTAAGTGAAATACCCACTACTACAAAATAATACTTTTCAGAGCAGTTTAATTTTAACTTACGAGAGCACTTTGAAGTGTTTCTGTGGCTAGTGCTCCTAAATATACAGGAGCGCTTTTAAAGTGTTCCCATATAGCTGTTCTATAGAAGCACTTCCCTTAAAAGTGTTTCCGTAAGCATCGTAAAGTTTTAATTCTGTAAAAATTATAGGAACGCAAAAAAGCGTTTGCGCTCCCATATAATACCTCTACAGGAGCGCTTTATCATCATACAAGAGCGCTCAAGTCTCATCTATGTTTTTACAATAAAACACTCATTTTGCTTTACAATGTTACCTACTTCAAAAATTCATACACAATATGTACAAAAGGTAAACTCCACAACAAGGTGAAAAATATAAAAAATATATTTCCATTGAAAATTTAAAAAATACAATGTTCTTTGGTAGTCACAATCTCAATCAACTACTCTAGCAACAAAATTAATAAAAAGATTTGTAATATAATCTAATCATCTAAACATTACCTAACAAGAAAAAAATTATTTACAATGAAAAAAAAGTGCCTCCAACAATAATGTCAAACCTGCAAAAAAATAAAAGATATCATGTAATATATATTTTAAATTCTATTTAAATCAATTATTACAAGACCCATCTAAATCAAGCTCTTCTTTGTTGTTTCTTCAGCTTGCTTGAACTACCAATATACATGTAATATTTAAATTCTATTTTTTTTTTTTGATTCCTCAATTTTTTATATCATGTAATATTTAAATCTTCCATCCAAGTAAGTTTGTCCTAAAATATTAAAGTAATTAAATGCACAAATTTTAATGGAAAAAAGGCGGGCTGCATAACAAAACAATAAACAAGTTTATTGATATGTTGACTCACCTCAACCCAATGTGAAACTGAAATATAGGTCTTCCAAAGTAATCTTGCCAAGCTACCTGATAATACAAAAGTAAAGAAAATTAATAACATAAAGCTTTATATAGAGTTTATGTGTCTAACAAAGCAAAACTTAGAGAACTTCACTAACAAAGGCAAAGAGCACATACGAAAAGAGAGTCAAAGAATAATGTCAAAATTTGAGGATAAGAGTTTTAAATGTACCCACTTTGAATTTGCAATTACTAACTCACCAACCTTGATGTTTCATTCTGAAAGTTTGGCTTGACATTCAAATGTTCCAGTTGAATGAACTGTTGAATCAAAGCAGTCTTTTTAGAAAGATGCTCATCAAGGTTTACATAATCTGTAAGTGAAGCAAATACACAGATAAATAACTTTCTTATGACATACTTATCCAGCCCTTGTACATGAGTTAAACCCGTAGCTAAAGAGACAAAAGAATAGATGAAGCTAGCGAATTTCGTCACAGCAGAAAAATAAATTAGCAACCATTCTGCAACTATTGTATGAATTAATTAACACGTACTAGATGCACGCACTCACTAGCTATAGATATATATGTCTCTTTGAAGTTTGAAATCACACTAAGAATTGTTGAAAGTCTTCATAGGAAAATAGAAATCCCATGAACCTGTGATTATACATGCCAAAAATAAATGTCAAATTGACACACACCCAGCTGTGCCACAGGTTTCTTCTTTATCCAAAGAAAATACCAAGGTTGTTAGTTTCTCTTTTTTTCAATACACGTATTTACCTATCTATGGCAATCAGAACATAACCAATATAATTAAGCATCATTGAAATGATTGTAAAATCATAAGATTTAAATCGAATCAAACTGAAATTATTAAAAATCACCCAAGAAAGTGGATCACTTCATCCCATTAATCTAGTGAAAAAACTTGAGGCAACCTTGTATCATTACACAACCTTAAAAAGTTGCATGCATGTATGTATGCATGCATGGAATTATATATAAACAATGAGAGAAAAATAATTAGAAACAATATATATATATATATATGGAGAGGTGCATGATAATCAGATGCTAAGGCAGGGTTGTCAGTGGTTGAGATTAAAGGACAAATAGTAATTGAAGTGACATTTTGGACATAGAATAGTCACTACTAGAAAAATTGAATAAATGCCATTTTTCGTAGCTAAATTGCATTTTAGCTACGAATTTTGTCCTTTGCTAAATTCGTAACTAAAAAAAAGCTCGCTAAATTTAGCAAGGAATTGTATTTTTCCTCGTTAATTAGCAAGGGATGAATCCCTCGCTAAAATTAGCTAGGGACTGAATTCCTACCCTTGCTAAATATGCTTATATTTAAAAATAATTATGCCACATCACCGGCCATGTGTGATGTCAACTTGTGACATGTCATCAACATGCTTTGTCAACCACCATGCCACCTACTATCTCGTGCCCTATCACCCACTACATGTGGGTCAACTTATAACACATCATTGTCCACCTTGCACCATATCACTTACTCCTTACCATATCATATATTCATCATGTTTATGCCAAAGTCAAGGTTTGAACCCTTGACCTCATACCTTTCAAGCTTTATGCTCTCCTTCTTTGTCAGTTGAACTGAAAGGCACCTTTAAGCATTATATGATAAATTAAATATATATATATATATATATTATTTAACTACAAAAATATATTAAATAATATATTATAAAAATACACACATATACATATTAAATTTTATTTTCAATTATTAATATGTTAAAAATATTTATATTTTATTTAAATTATTATTTATATTATATTTTTAATAAAAAATTATTTTATTAATGAAAATCAACTTAAAATAAATAAAATATTAAATAATTTTATTATAAATATTTTAGTTAATTTTTTAAATTTAACTATTATTTTTAAATGAAAATAATTAAATGTATAATTAAAATTCATTGTCAAAAGGTAATTTTTTTTAGTAATTAGCTAGGGATAGAATCTCTCACTAAATCCCTCACTAATTATTTTATTTTAGAGAGGGATTGACAGTCCCTAACTAAATCCCTCACTAATTCTCTTATTTTAAAGAGGGATTGATAGTCCCTCGCTAAATCCCTCGCTAATTCTCTTATTTTAGAGAGGGATTGACAGTTCCTCGTTAAATCCCTTTTTAATTCTCTTATTTTAGAGAGGGATTGACAGTCTCTCATTATTTTTCTCGCTAATTCTCTTATTTTAGAGAAGAATTGACAATTCCTCGCTAATTTTAAGTCAAGCTATGAAATTAATATCTCTCGCTAATTTCCTCGCTAACTTAGTATTTTAGAGAGGAATAGATAATCCCTCGCTAAATTTCCTCGCTAATTTGCATTTTTCTAGTAGTGAGTTTGTTAAGCATAGAACCCTTTAAATCCAGGCCATACAAAATACGCAAATATCACAAACAAAATATGAGATTAAGATTCAAGGGGAGGATTAGATCTTAGCAAATGAAATCAAGAATTAAATTCTAAATGACTAAAGCATTAACTGTGAAACTTGCTACCTATCCAATCTGAGGTAAATTAATACCATGAAAAATATAATCTCTTTCTTCTTAATTAATATTTAGTTTGGTGTCCTGCATTAACCAATATAATTAATGGGTGAAACTAAATTCCCTTGGGTAGTATTTATCTTAGTCCTCAGATAATGAAACAAACTTAATGGCAACAATGAGAGAGATCAGCAAATGCAATCTCATCTTGTTATCAAAGAAAATACCTTGACTTTGGTAAGCTGGGCACTCTGGTTTAAAACGTTCAATTAGCTATGGGCTACAATAATTCTTCAAAGTTTCAACATCCCCCTGCACAATCATTTATAACCCCAAAAATAGGGAAAAAATGAATACAGGGGACTGGGTTGTGAATAGATTAATGTTACAAAAAAATGAAAGAGACAACAAATCTTGTTTATGATAAAAATCACATAAGAGAAACAGATTTATATATGAGCCCCATGACCAAAATTTATCCAATAAAGCAAATAAATAAACAAGTAATACAAGAATTTACACCTCACATGGTGTACCCTATATAACTTAATGAGTGCACATTGCATCAACAAAATGGACAAGAAAAGTCCTCAGTCACTGCATTGCATCAACCAAATGGACAAATCCTCAGTCACTGCACTTGAAAATAGATGGGAAAATCTAATCAATATTGACCATATCTAATCCCTTCAAGTAATAAGTAAATGCAATTCTTCTCCACAAAACAATATGAATATTAAAAAAAAAATACCAACCAATGAGTTCTAACCATATACAATATGGCTCTGAGATTCAATAATCCCATTCCTTGAAATACCAACCAATATATTCCTTTCCTCCCAAACAAAGTCCACTCTTCCTCCAATATTAAGAAAGAATAAATGAAAGAAAAAACTTAAAGAACTAAACAAAAATCAAACAGCAACAAAACAAGCCAATTATTTAGGGATTAACAAGAGAAAGTAGAGAAAGATCAGATCAATAATTTTCTGCAAGTAAATAACTAATCATACATAGCATCAAGAATAGTAAATATTAGGCATGTTTCAGAACAAAATACTGTAACATATACTCTCAACAGTTAAAATCAGATTACTGAATATAAGCATAAATATAGTTCACCACCTAAGCCAAAACGAAGGAAGATTAATGCCTTCAAACCACCAAGAGTAGCAGCCAAGAAAACCACTAAGGGACTAAGAAGCGTCAAAAAACACAGATCTGAATGTCAAATCAAGCACGCCATTCAATTTCTGGACTAGACAGCTGTTCGATGATGCAGAACTTGAGGCTGACGGTGTCGAGTTCGGTGGTGGCAAGCTGTTCAAGGTCGAAGTTTAGGGCGATGATCATTGGGGTTTAGTACTAAATATTCCAGCGAGTTGAGACCAAAACTGCGTGGATCTAGCAAAGATTCGACGCTTGGCGATGGAGATTTGAAGATGTGGATCCTTCGGCAAAGGAGTGAGCTCAGTTGGGGCGACGTCGACCGCGATATGGTGCTCTGGTGAGATCCTTAAGCTTTTGCAACGGCGTGGGTCGTGGCACAGGCAGCGTGGACTTCAAATAGAGAGGGAGTTGCGAAATTTTGGAATTCTATCTAATAGAATGGATATCTGATAGGGGTTTTGATTAATATTTTTTTAAAAAAACCATTACATATCAGAACTCCGATGAATCAGTCCTTCCGGAGCGCTTTCAAAATAAGCATTTTGTAGGCTTTGTTTTAATATTTAAAATTGAAATTTTCTTATTATTTTTAAATTCAACAAGAGCACTTTATAGAAAAGTGCTTTCTAAAACTTATCATTATTATTCTTTAAAATTTTTCTTTCAGCCTATCGGAGCGTTTATTATTAAACGCTCTGGTAAACTTATTAATGTTTTTTATTTTTTATTGAAGTGCTCCAAAACGTTTCACATTATTTTTTTTGAAGTACTTTTTACATAAGTGCTTTAAAATCGGTGTTCTCATAAATATATTTTTGTAATAGTGATCAGAATATACTATTAAAAAATGTAAATTAGCAAATAAATTTAGTAAAGAATCGTCTATTCCTCTCTAAAATACTAAATTAGCGAGAAAATCAGTGAAAAATGTTGATTTCATAGCTTGAATTAAAATTAGCAAGAAAATTAACAATGGACTGTCAATGCTTCTCTAAAATAAGAGAATTAGTGAGGAAAACAGTTAAGAACTATCAATTCCTTTCTAAAATGAAACAATTAGTAAGGAAAATAACGAGGGACTGTCAATCCCTCTCTAAAATAAGAGAATTAGCGAGAAAAATAATAAAAGTTGGCAATCTCTCTCTAAAATAAGAAAATTAACAAGGGATCCTATCTCTAGCTAATTACCGCAAAAAAAAATTAACTTTTGATAATGACTTTTAATTATATATTTAATTATTTTCATTTAAAAATAATAATTAAATTTAAAAATTAATTAAAATATTCATAATAAAATTATTTAATATTTTATTTATTTTAAGTTCATTTTCATTAATAAAAAGAATAATTTAAATAAAATATAAATATTTTTAACATATTAATAATTGAAAGAAAAATATAATATGTATGTGTGTGTATTTTTATAATATATTATTTTATATATTTATGGAGTTAAATAATATATATACATATTTAATTTTTTAAATTATTGCAAGTGCTTTTCAGTTCAATCAGTAAAGAATGAGAGTATAAGACTTGGAAGATATGAGGTTAAAGGTTCAAGCCTTAACTTTGGCATAAACATATATGATACGGTAAGGAATAAGTGGCATGATACAAAGTGGACAATAACGTATCATGAATTGTCACACATTCGGTAAGTGATAGGGCACAAGATGGTAGATGACATGGTGATTGACAAGACATGAGGTTATTGATGACATGTTACAAATTGATATCACACATGGCAGGTGATGTGACATAATTATTTTTAAATATAAACATATTTAATGAGGGACTAATTTCACGTTAAAGTTATTGAATTTTGAATAATATTAGAGAGGGATTAGCAAGGGACTCAATCTCTAACTAATTTTAGTGAGAGGCTGAATCCCTCGCTAATTAGCGAGGAAAATACAATTTCTCGCTAAATTTAGTGAGCCATTTTCTAGTTATGAATTTAGTGAGGGACAAAATCTCTCGCTAAGATGTAATTTAGTTATAAAAAATAATATTTAATGAAAAATTTGCTAAATTTCATTTTTTTTTAATAGTGATAAGAGCCGTGTGGCCTCCTGCATCTTCACAAATATTATTGGAGAGGCAGCTTGCTATAGAGTCTGTTAAAATTAAACGTGGTTAGTTAAAATATTGTCACATCTCAGTTAGTAAAAGTTAGCTTTCCGTTGTAATTGGCCGTCGTGCGTGGTACGCCTATGTACATATGTGTAGCGTGTTGTACATTAATGATGAGTCCCTTTTAAGTCACTCTCTCTATCCCACATCCTTCACAAAATTTGGAGTCAACAAGGAAGAAGCATTTGAAATGGATAAGCGAAGGGAAGAGTAGGGCAAGCAAGTAAGCAATAAAAAAAAGATTAAAAAAAAAAAAGGAAAGCCACCTAATTAAATAAGTTGGCTTAAGCAAATACAGCAAACAAGTACAATGGCAAGCATACTAGCAACACCAACGAGCACAACACTCGTAAACATAAAACAATAAGAAATAGCATGGCAGCAACGCTAGAGGGATCGATGCCCATGCTTTGTTCAAGTTGAAAGCTGAATATGATACATAATGAGTACAGCCCTGGTTGTGTCATGGCTTCTAGGGTAATCATCACTGGTCACAATCAATTTGGAAATCCCAGAAGCGGCCGGCTTTTAGTCGAGGAAGTGAGGAACGGCACCAAGAAAGATGGGCAATGGGACAGTGTTCCAATCCAAGGGCTGGGAGCTGCATGCTGTGACCAGACAAAAGGTTGGCTCTGGGGTAAGGTAGTGGCTGGAGGACGTCCTTGATGAGGGATTGAGAAGATCCAATGACAGGGGTCCAAGTGCGGATCTGGTAAACCACAGTGTAAACAACTTTTTCGTAGCCACGGTACGAGTAAATATGAGGCCATCGAGCTTGTAGTTTGATGACGATATCTTTCAGGGATTTGGTGCCACCCGAGATCGAGTGATGAGAAGAACAAGAAAAAGAAAATAATTAAATATATTGAAGATTTGAGTGTTTATTGGAAGAGTTGATGGAAAAGGGATAATTGCCGTCGCGGCCTCAGATGCTCAAGAAGAACTTGACCTTGGAAGCCGACTTTGGGTTGAATAAATTAAAAGTTTCGATTTTGGTGGAAGTGATGGGCTCACCTTTATTGAAGTAGCATTGGAAGTCTCCTATGGTGGGTTTCCACGTGTCATCATAATCTCTGGGGAAGGCCAGAGCTACCTGGATATCGTGCTTGAGCTTCACAGATACAAGATTTTCAATTGACGCGAAGTTGCCAGCATAAACCCGGTAAGCTTACGAAGGGTTGGTCATATTGGAAAATTCTAGATATTAGCTTTTCCCGGAAATCTGGATCACTCAACTTCCTTCCCTCCTTTTATATACTTTTCTAATTCTATTTATAAATTATTTTTAATATATTTTATCAATATTAAATAAAATTTTAAAATTCATTAATTCAGTTTTAAAATTTAATAAATTTTTAACTTTATCTTTATTAAATATACATATTTCAGTAATATATTTTCTCTCTTCAACATTTAATAGAGAGTAAAAAAATTTATAATAAAAATTTAATAACATAAATTATAAATAAAATTAAAAAAAATATTATCTCTCTTCCTTATAAATAAAATCAGATAGAGTAGACCTCACTTCGCTTCTCGTTCGTGTTATCAGACGTCACTCCCTCTACGTCATGTGCCCTTGCGCGTAGCGTAATATTATGAATTCTTGTGATTTAATACTATTAAAGCAGCCGACCGTGGTGCAACGTGTCAATTTTAATATCATCAAGTTGCGTGTGAACATCAACGCAACTTTCAAACTTCACGATACATGTAACTAAAAATATTTAGATAATCTTGACAAAATATGTCAAAAATGTTGACTATATATGATAATATGGCAGTGCCATTGTAGCTCGAGGGATAAATATATTTATATTGTAAAGGGATAAAAGTTTTTCTCGTGCATTTCCATTAACATGTTAGTTAACGTTGCGTGTGAAGTAACTTTGAATGAAATATCCGAAGACCATTACCATGTCCTAATCCGTACGAGAGAGAAATACTCTTCATATTAACAACTAATTAATTGATTATTCTTACCCGTAGTCGCTTCTAATTAATTTATAACTAATGAATACTTGTGTGTGCGAACAACTTTAGAAATTAGAAATGATCTATATGCACGTAGAAAACTGAGCCAAATTGTTCGTAGTGAATAACAAATACCAGACGTGACAGAAACACTAAGTCTCAATTAATAACAAAATGGTCCTGAGCTCTCTTATCACAGTTCATTCGGATGTAAAAGATACACAAGACTTTGGTAGAACAAATATTTTGATTTTTATTAAAATGTAAAAAAGTTACAAGTCTAGATTGAAAATAAAAATTAACTGATAAAACTAAAAGTTAAAGGTGCAGAATACGAGTCTTTGATTGAGTGTTGACTGTCTTTTTTTGTATCTTCATCTTCTATTTTAGTATTAGAGTGGTGGTAACCTCTCCCTTAAAACCTAGAACGTTTTGCGAAAGAATCAAAGATCTCGTGAAATTTATAGCATGGTCTTTATTCTGTGTCCTCCATTTTTGGTAATCAATCCATCTCACCAAGATACTTAGGCACAATGTCCATAGATTCTGGAATCATTTGGAATTGTGTCTTCATGTGTCAACGGTCCAATACTTGTAACTGGTGAGATTTCAGCATGTTTATTCCATTGTAGCCTTCTATTGAGCTCAAGGCTAGCTCCTTTGTTTAGATTGGGCTTGACTCCTCGGTTACTCAGCCCAAATAACCTTGTAATTTATTTAAGCGATGTTTCATATGTTAGCCCAAACATAAATAAAAAGTTGAGACAAATTAAAGTAAATTAAACCAAATCAATTAAATGATTCTATTTTGAATACAATATAATTTCTTTTTTGAAATGGAAGTTATCATTTGATGAACGCCAGTTATTATCAAAACCTTTTGAATCAATCATCAAACCGCAAAAGGAAACAAACTTAAACTAATCTAGATGATTTGTCATCACAGATCCAATGTTCTTTTGTGTATTTTTATTTAAATGTCATGTCATCTAATTTTAACAGTGTTATCTCTTAATCAAATTATAAAAATCATATCAATAATTGAAATAAATTTAAATGAACAAATAAATAAAAATGTCCTTGAGAGTTGAGATACCATTTGCTATGGGCTTATTAAAATACAATAGTTTGGTGATGTTACATGGTGGGGATTCTTCAATTTCAATATTATTATTTTTTTGGCCAATCAATTTCAATATTATTGATTATTTGCAATTATCGTCATTTTTATATTGGACTTATTAAACTAAGACCATCATACTTGCATTATTCATATCGTGTTTTCAATTTCAACATTGTCTGCTGTTTTCATTAAACATAATTGCAAGTGGTGAGAAAAGAATTTTTTATGCTCATCAAGATAATATTCATTATGTATGCATGTAATCATTGTTATTAAACTCTTGAACTGACTCTTAATACTATTTTTATATTTTTAACTTATAAAATTATATTAACTCACTCATAAACTTATACTTGATATAAAATTAGTTAAACTTGCAAATTAACTCTTTGAATTTATCATTTTTATATTTCTAATTAACAAAATCATATCAATCTGCTCACAAACTTGGACTAGATGCAGATTGATTAAACTTGTTAAACTCATTTTTTTTACTAAGTGAGTTAAGTATATATCGTGTAGAAATCAGTTTATAGAAGCGGTAGGACCTGGTTCAAAGAAAAATAAAAAACTAATATTAATAAAAAAATAAAAAATATCAAAAATAAGTTGCCCTATTTTAAAATGATAGAATATTATCTAAGGACCTGGTGAGAAACTTATTCTCAAATAAGGACAAATACGTAATAGACTATTACTAAAATGGAAACATGAACTTATTCTTCTCAAATGAGACTTGTTATTAGTCATTATATGTAGATAAGTTTTTTTTCAGATTCTTGAATGTAACTCTCCCTTTTAAAATTTTTATGTTGAGTATGATACATGTCCACATCATGGTTTCAATCACTTTAAACTTTATGAATGGTCTGCCGATCGTTTATGCGTGTGTTGTTTGTGTGTTTCATTCTAAAATAAGACTTTGGGGTTCTAGCCTGCTAGGTTATACTGTTACCTGATTTTTTTATTACTTTTAAGCCAGCGCAAGATTATAATTTCTTATTAATTAATAAAATGACTTCTCAAGCAACAAGAGAAAACAATGGTATTTCTTAATATTTTTGTTCTATTTGTGTTTTTGTCTCAAAACAGATCATACCGACCGTGCTAAATTTTCAATAGATACTCAGTGATAAACTAATATGTGACTCTGGTAAAAAGAAAACTAATATATATGTGACCGGTAACTAAATGATATCAATACATATAAATAACTACTCATAAACTACACAAAAAGGAGGAAAGTAAAAATGTGGGGAAAAAGATTTTAGATTGCAGGGAAATTCTCTCAGATGTGCTTATTCCAACTTCCACAACTAACTAAATCATTTAGATTTGTTTATTGGAGGTACTCCGGTCCTTAATATGTATAAGTTAAATTTAATCAATTTTGCATTTATTAAGAAATGGTAGTTATATCTTAAAAGTTATTTAAAAATATGTTACATTCCAATTTCATCCTTCTTTGCATTTAATATCCATAGTAAATTACTTTATCGAAATTCAAACCATAATAAATAAGGGGTATAAAATTGGGAGAAAAAAAAATCACCCTAACTTTGCCTTCTGTTAAGGACTAAAAAACTTTCCAAGTTTGATTTATATTAAGAATAGGGGGAGTATATTAAATATTTTTAACAACAGATGAAGTAACTAAAATGCAAATTAAATAGGCAAGATCAAGCTAAGTAATTAAAACTACATATAATTAAACACAACGGCGTATACAAGCTCCAATCCACACAGTAGATTCATTGTAGCTCTAATTAATCAAGAGGAAACTAACTATAAAAGACAAAATACAAAGCTAATTAAGTACAACATTAAAACCATCAAACTAACGAGAAAAGAGAGCAGTTTAGTTAGTCGTCGTGTGACTTTGGCTTGAAGCTTCAATCTCCCATTGAATCTAACTAATCTTCCCAGCAAAGTCTCCCAAATGCCTCTTTACTTTTAAAGCCTCCAAAAAGTCCCTTTGCTGTTGTTCTCTGCTGAAAAACTTTCATTTTATCCCAAGACAATTATAGGATTCTCATTTTATTATAATTATCTGTTAGATTTGATTAGATTTAGGAGCTAGATTATTGCTAACTTGTCAGAGCCGCTAGAATTAAACATGATTGATTGGTTAAAGTATAGTTACATGTCCGTTAGTAAGTTAGCTTTCTGTTGTAACTGTACGCAGATACAACAAAGCAACATTCATTAAACAAGTCGGCTCATGCAGATACAGCAACCAATACATGCAAGTACAAAACTATGGCTATACCAACGGTGACAGACTTATTTGAAAGGAAAAATTAACTCATGAACACAAACAGTGAGAGCAAGCAAGCACGTACGGCAGCGTGCTGATCAGCAGGTGTCACGGCTTCTCTGGGTTATCATCGCTGGTCACAATCCATTTGGAAATCCCGGAAGCGGCCGCGTTATTGTCGAGGAGGTGAGGAACAGCGCCGAGGAAGATGGGCACCGGAACTTTGATCCAGTCCGAGTGCTGGTGGGAGGAACTGTGACCAGCGAAGAGCTTTTCTTTGGGATAAGGTAAGGTGTCGAGGACGTTCGTGAGGAACTGAGAAGATTTAATGACATTAGGCCAAGTGTGGGTCTGGTAAACAACGTGGTCAATAACTCTGTGGTGGTCGTTGTACAAGGGCGAGTAAAAATTACAACAGAGACGAGCAGACACGGTGATGGAAACCAGAAAGTCGTCCGGCAGGTCGTTCTTCAGGTTCTCTATAACCTCCCCTATCGCATCCTTAAACTGAGCCTCCCCGACAGGATCGATGTATTGGTAGTAAATGTCGAGGCCATCAAGGTTGTAGTGGTGGATGATCCTTTTCAGGGATTGGGTGGCACTCGAGATCCAGGTTTCTTTTTCGGAAGAGGTGACGGAAAAGGGATATTTCTCGTCACGGCCACCGATGCTAAGGAAGAACTTGACTTTGGAAGCCGAATTTTGCTTGAAAGTTTTGACCTTGGTGGGAGTGAGCTCGTCTTTTTTGAAATAGCACTTGAAGTCTCCTTTGGTGGGATTCCCATCTTCATCGTAATCTCTGGCGAAGGCCAGAGCGACATGGATTCCGTTCCTGAGCTTCACAGACTCTAGATTTTCGATCGAGGCGTAGCTGCTGGCGTAAACCCGATAGGCTAACAAAGGGTTGGGGGACATGTTGAAACACATATAGTTATGACTAATACGTCTCCTTGACTCTAGATTTGGCTTTTGCTTCGACTGTGTCTCTGTGTGTTCCTCAATTTCATTCCTTCTCGCCCTCATATAGATATATATACACCGCACTGAATTCATATTCGTATCATGAGACCGTTTATTTCGCAATATTAGTATTGAGATTTTGAGACCCCGATACATTTTTCAATTTGAGTATTGCTGGTGATTGGTAATTGTCGCCATATTTTTAGTGGACTCATTAAAATATGACCGTTACTTGCATTTATTTATATATAGCGTGTTTTCATCTATAAATGTCACGAACGTGATGCGTTAATACTTACACCACCATCGTGTTCATTTAATTATTAGTTTCGTGTGAAGAATTATTATCAAGACCATGAACATAACATACTCCTTCCAGATCATAATATAAGTCATGGTTAATTAATTTTATGGTTTACAAACAATGTTAGTTAAAACCTTAAATTCTTAAAAATATCCACATCTTTTCATTTATATTCTCATTCAATACCTCATATAAAAGCCTTAATAATAGTAATTAAAATTTCAATGCATAATTTTTCCAAGAAGTAATAAATGAAGTAGGAGTATAGTTGAAAAAATAAATATAAAAATTATTCAATGCTCCATATTTTGGACCAGGTAAGGTTTTTAGAAGATGTTTTATATTATGATCTGGAGGAAGTAGTAAAGTTTATTAACTTTGGTTTAATTTCAAGCTATTTTATTATTGTAGAGGGTTATTTATAGATTTCAATATTATAAGTTAAATCTTATTAACCATAGTAAACTTTTAAATTAAATTTTTTCCTTTTCTATTTTGGTTAGCTATTTTCAATTGCATTTGAGTTTTTCCTACTTTGGTTGGTATGGGGAATTAATTACCTTCTAATTACTATGGTAGAGTTTAATAATTGTGGTTATGTCTTTGTTTAAGTAAGATGATATTACACATTTGATGCTCAATACATGCATATAACAATAGTATACATACTCACAATCATGCTTATGATCAAATCATGCTTACCAAAATATCATTTCTTGGATAAACGTATATTTTTGCTTTTGAAATATTATTTAAGAAGTACCTAACACCCTAAACTATTTGTTGAAGCAATTTTGTCCTTAAAGTAATTAAAACAAGGCATTTTTATCCTTTTCATTAAATTCCTTAATAATCAACTTTGGAATCCCAATTAATATTTCTAACAGTCAACGTTGAAAATTTGATGGCAAAAGCAAAAATGCTCTGTTTTAATTATTTTAAGGGCAAAATTGCTCCAATCAATTGTTTAGAATGATAGGTGCTCCTTGAAAAATATTTTAGAGATGAAAATGCACCTTTACCCTCATTTCTTTCATAATCTCATGCATACCTTTATACATGCATTCTCATAAACTGCTTACACAAATTTTCCAAAACATAACATAGCCTTTTCTAACATCCAAGCATATTTTCATTTTCACAATTACAATAAATGCTTAAGCAAACATATGAAGGAATTTAGGCTTTTGATTAATTACCTCCACCCTTTGAGTCAAATCAAAAGGAGACTTAGACATTCCTCAACCTGAGCTTCTAAATGTGCTTAAGTAAGTATGATAGTTAATCTTCAATTGATATTACCATTAAACATCAATTAACCAGCCATGAACTCAATCTCATAACTACCCATTACCACTCACAATTCTCAAAACCCCTTTCATTAGCTAACTTAGTTATTCATTAGCCTCATTAACTTCCTTAGACTTCCCAGAGCATAAGCTAAGTAAACTTATTACAAACCCTTATAGTCTATGGATCATTAATTTCAAACATTAGGGTTTGCTAAAAAACCATAACCCCAACCTCCTATATAAAGGTTTCAAAACCTTAACCATGGATTTAGGAGCTTAGACAGAATCCTAAGAGTCCCATTAAACTCAATAAGTTCAAGCTCCCCCATTTTAAAAGGAAAAAAAACTAACTCAAACCCAAAAACCAAGTTAAAATTTAGATAGAGAGGGAGGAGAATGAGTTAGAGAGAGGTTACCTTGATGATTTTGAGCCCTCAATCTTCTCCAAATGTTGTCCCAACAAAGCCCTAGCAGAGCCACAAACACCCTCATGAACCCTCTCTTCTTCTGCTTTTCAATATGTCATGCGACAAATTTAATTCACGAAATCAACCATTTGCTGTGGCTCATGGTCAATCCACTACACTGGTGATAGAACAAGCTCAAATTGAGCTTGTGTGACATTGTTGGGCACAATCTAATTAACCTAATTACCCCACTAGACCTAATCCAACATTGCCTAAGGGTCCAATTAAGCCCATTTGTGACCCTTAATCATGATTAGCATAATTAACATGAAATTACTAATTTAACTATCTTAATTATATCAATGTAAATATATATATATATATATATGTATATGCATAATAGGTTCTTATTTCACATGAAAGATATATATAAAATAAGATATTTGTCAATATTTTGAAAATTCTACTTATGTAATTTGATCACATGCTTTCATGATGTTCTTGGCATGAGAGAAAAGTAGGGAAAGACAAAAGTAGAGGAAAAATGACAACTTCTCTTGCTTGGCTACGAGAGAAAAATGAGGGGGAGAGGGAATTCAAAGAAAAATGGCATATGAGACCCCATGTTTTTTCTCCAACGTTTTTTCTCAAAATGTGAGGATATTTTGGAGAGAAAACTCAATTTTCATATTTACCTATGATTCTTTTCATTTTCCACCAATTGCATCACTCCGTTTTCATCTTAATTTTTCCTCCACTTTAAAATTTATATTATTATACATGTAATAATCTAAGAAATAAAATTTAAAAATGGAAAATGTATTTCTTCACCAGCATTGGATAAATAATTTATAATTATATTTTATTCAACCAACAAGCCTTTTATGTTGAGAAAATATCTTAAAAACAAAAAGGAAAGAAGAGGTTGGTGATTGACTATAAGCCTCTTAATGCTTTTCTTCAAGTTAATAAGTTTCCTTTGCCTAAGATTAACACTTAGTCCATCTGAAATGGGCTAAAGTATTCTCAAAGTTTGACCTCGAAGCAGGATTCCAATAATTTGCAATTGTATTATGATTTCCTTTTATGTATCGAACTATAAATTTAGAGGGAAAACCAATCTTTTGACCAAAAGAGTTGAGCTTCAGGAAGAATCTTTCTATTTTGATTAAGGATCTTTGGAAATAATGTGTTGTCCATTTTTACCATAAAGTGGTAGGGGTTAACATGAAAACAGTATAAATATTTTTTACAAAATAAGATTATTATTGTCCATATGAAATTAGCAATTTTTTATTCCTCAGATTTTTCTTGCCCAACAAGCATGGGGAGAGAAAATTCCATCCCTTTACTTTTCTCTTCTCTCTACTTTTTTCTTTTCATTTTCTCTTCTTATTTTTTCTTGTGAACAAGCACTGTGAGCCAAGATCTTTCCTCTATAGAGAGGGCCATATTGTTTTTAATCACATTAATAGGGTTTGTAATAGGGAAGCTACTGCTAGGTAGATTCTCCCATGCTATGGATGATAAATGTTTCCCCTTTAATTATCATCCATCTTCTATTTTAGGGGTGGAGAATGATGAAAGAGGACAGTTTTATCTTGTCTTTGGGCTCTACTACTGTTGCTTGTGATGTATTTCAGCTTCCATTAAAAAAAATGATTTAATAACATAATACTTTTTGTTTTTAAAAATTACAAGGTAAAAGCTTTAAATCCGGAGAATCTAGATTAAATCTAAACCACCTAAATTTTATCAGAAGTGACAAGCATGACGACGGAAGACGATCCCCTGGGAAATCATGTACAGCGCACAAGAGGGAGTCTGAGAGCAAGAGCTGCGAGTGAGGAGTTAGGGCATGCAAGAGGGCGAGAAAAATGATGAGAAAGGGGAAACCATGCACGTACCAAATTGATTAACAATCAAAGCAACATTTATTAAACAAGTTGGCTCATGCAGGTAATACAGCAACCAATTAACCAAGTACTAGGGGTGTTCACGGGACGGGACGGGACTGGGACACTCCCGTCCCATGTCCCGTCCCGAAAAAAAGATCGGGATTGAATTTTGGTCCTGTGTCCCGTCCCGTCCCGAAAGTCGTCCCGTCCCGTTAAGAGTCGGGACGGGACCGGGACAAGATCAGGACGTCCCGCCGTCCCGATAAATGGAATAACATCAAAAAAAGATCTGAATAATAACGTTCATTAAAATTTTAAATCATATAATTTATTAAGTTTAAAATCAAAACAACACAAGCACATAAATAACAATAATTTAAAATCAATTATTGAATTATATTAATCGTAACTACATATTATAATAACAAATACAAGTGATTTTTATGCTATAAGATTAGCAACAGGCAAGTCAAATACAATATCAAATCATTATTCTTCTATTTTAGTGAAGGTGTACTAAGCTAATTACTTTTCTAAAAATAAGCAAGAAATATGTTATAAATAAAATTTATTAAATAGATAGATATAAGAATAAATTATATTAATATAATTAATATATTATAAAGAAAGATATCGCCATATTTACTCCATGTCATTAAAATTATCAATATAAAAAACTTTAGTTTTAAATAAGAATTATAAGTATTAAAATTATAATTGATATAATTAATATAAGTATAAATTATATTAATATAATTAATATATTTAAAATAAAAAAATATATATATATATATAATATTCGGGACGGGACGGGACGTCCCGATGGTAATCCCGTGTCCCGTCCCGTCCCGAACCCCTTTTCTGTCCCGTCCCGTAAAGTCCCGTCCCGATTATTTTCGAGCCGGGACAAGACCCGTCCCGATATGATCGGGACAATACCGGGCCAATCGGGACGGGTCTAGGCTAAACACCCCCACCAAGTACAAAGCAAACAAATAAAAAGGCTAGACCAACGGTACTTAAAGGAAATTAGCTCATAGACACAGCACTCATGAACATAAAACAGTAAGAGCTAGCATGCATAAACACCAGAGGGCCGATGCTGATGCTTTATTTAAGCCGATACATGATGGAGATGGATCAGGATCACGGCTTCTCAGGGTTATCATCAGCGGTCACAATCCATTTGGAA